TTGTGGTTAGACTAGGGTTATAGATATGGGAGGAGGAGGACCACAGAGGTAAAGTGCCATTCTCATCACATCCTATCTGAAGTATGTACTGTCAACCTGCCTTATTGCTGTTACTGTAGACCTTGATCACCTGGATGACGTGCTGTTTGTCAGGTGACTCCACTGTAAAAAAACTTTTCCCCCTTTTCATATCATACTTTTTGAAAGCAAATCATTAAGTATAGCCCATTAAGTCTGTTTTTAATGTTTCTGTTAACTTAATAGTATTTTTTGAATATTTCACAGTAGTTAGAATTTACATTGCTCATGAGAATATGGCTAATAAGGCAGTTTTTAAAATAAAAAAAGCCCCTCACTTGTCCTGCCTCCATTTCTCTGGCCCACCCATGGTTCTCTTTAGTACAGCAAGACCTAACTAGACAAGCTTAATGTAGGCTGGGATACTTGAGGTGGATGATCACTATTGATGCTGATGGGATTGTTTCTGATGTTTTAGAGTTTAATGACAGGGCTCTGGCTTAGACTGTGCTCCACAATGGCTTATCTAACTGGACTTACCTTATACCTCCAATCTCACCTCAAATTTAGGTGGGGAAATTCATGAAAAATATTTACATTTGACATTTTGAAAATAAAAGTAGATATTTAAAAGCAAAAATAAATGAATGGGACTACAGCAAACTAAAAAGCTTCTGCCCAGCAAATAAACCATCAGTAAAACAAGGAAACAACCAACTGAATAGGAGAAGATACTTACAAATGATACACTTGATAAGGGCCTGATATCTAAAATACACAAAGAACTAGAACAACTCAATAATAACAACAACAAAAAATCTGATTTAAAAAAAGGTAAAGGGATTACTGCTTATGTTTTTTTCTAGAAGTTTTATGGTTTGGGGTCTTACATTTAAGTCTTTAATCCATTTTGATTCTATTTTTGTATACAGTGTAAGAAGATGGTCGAGTTTCATTTTTTTGCCTGTATCTGTCCAGTTTTCCCAACACCATTTATTGAAAAGACTGCCTTTACCTCATTGTATATTCTTGACTCCTTTATCATTTATTAAATGAGCATACAGGCGTGGATTTATTTCTGGGCTCTCTATTCTGTTCCATGGATCTGTGTCTGTTTTTATGCCAGTTCCATGCTGTTTCGATTACTGTAGCCTTGTAGTATAGTTTGCTATCAGGTAGTGTGATATCTCCAACTTTGTTCTTTCTCAAGATTGCCATGGCTATTCAGGGTCTTTTGTGGTTCTATATAAATTTTAAGATTATTTGTTCTGGCTCTGAAAAATGCCATTGGTATTTTGATAGGGATTGCATTGAATCTATAGATTGCTTTGGGGAGAATGGCCATTTTAATGATGTTGATTCTTCCTACCCATGAGCATGGTATATGCTTCCATTTATTTGTATCTTTTTCAATGACTTATAATTTTCTGAGAACAGGTCTTTGATCTCCTTGGTTAATTTGATTCTCAGGTATTTTATTGTTTTTGATGCAATTGTAAATGGGATTGTTTTCTTAATTTCTCTTAGTGAAAGTCCTTCATTGGTGTATAAAAATGCCACTGACTTCTGAATATTAATTTTATATCTTGCTACTTTACTGAATTAATTGATCAGTTCTAATAGTTTTTTGGTGGAATTTTTAGAGTTCTCTCTATATAGTATCATGTCATCTGCAAATAACGAAGTTTTACTTCTTCCTTTCCAATTCAGATACCTTTTTTATTTCTCTCTTGTCTGATGGTGTGGCTAGGACTTCCAATACAATGTTGAAAAGGAGTGGTGAAAGTGGGCATCCTTGTCTTTTTCCTGACCTTAAGGAAAACGCTTTTGGCCTTTCTCCCATTGAGTATGATGCTAGCTGTAGGTTTGTCATATGTGACCTTTATTAAGTTGAGGTATGCATTATCTGTTCCAACTATGCTGAGAGTTCTTTTCATAAATGGATACTGGATTTTGTCAAACACTTTTTCTGTATCTATTGATATGATCATATGATTTTTATCTTTCAATTTGTTAATGTGGTATATCACATTAATTGATTTGTGGAGACTGTATTTGGGAGAAAGGAGTGAAGGGTTAAAGAAGTACAAATTAGTAGTTGATAGATCTGGTCACAGGGATGGGGAGCAAGGCATAGGGAATGCAGTCAGCACTAATGTAATAGCTAGGTGTAGAGCCAGAGGAGAGAAAGAATAATCAGGGGGGTCATTTCAAAAACTATATAAATGTATCTTATGCTTGAAACTAATAATAAAATAACATTTTTTAAAAAGGGGACTTGAATAAACACTTTTCCAAGGAAGACAATATGGGTAGCCAACAAACTTATGAAAAGATGTTTAACATCATTAGTTATTAGGGAAATGCATATAAAATCACAATGAGCTACCACTTCACACTCGTTAAGATGGTTACTACCATAAAAACAGAAAGTGACAAGTGTTGGTGAGAATGTAGAGAAATTGGAACCTAGCACGCTCTTGGTGGAAATGTAAAATGATGTAGCCAAGAGGTGGAAGCAACCTAAGTATCCTTCAGTGGGTGAATTGATAAACAAAAGGTAGCATATACATACAACAGAATATTATTTGGCATTAAAAAAGAGGAAAATTCTGGCACATTCTATAACATGGATGAACCTTGAGGACATTATGCTAAGTGAAATAAGTCAGTCACAAAAAGACAAATACTGAATGATTTCACTTATAAGAGAAGTCTAACGTAGCCAAACTCACAGAAGCAGAAAGTGGAAGATGGTTGTCAGGATGAAAAGGGTTCTAGAGATGAATGGTGGTGATAGCGATGCAATATTGTGAATGTACTTATTGTCACCAAACTACATTCTTAAAAATGGTTAAAATGGTAAATTTTATGTTATGTACATTTTACCATGATAAACAGTATCATCAGTAAATAACAATGGAATGACAATAGTAACACAAGAAGCAGAAAGGAGTAAATGGAGTCAAATTGTTATAAGATTCTTGAATTGCTAATAAGGTGGTAAATGTATTAATTTGAGGTAGACTGTAAAAATCAAGAATGCATAACTACTAAAAGAATTATTAAAGAGTGTATAATTAAAAGCTAATAGAAAAGATAAAATAAATACTAGATTAATCCAATAGAGTCTGAGAAAGATAAGAATGAGAAAATATTCTGTAGTTGCATAAAACACATAATATTTTCTGTCATAAGACAGGTTCTGATTAATAACTACATGGAGAACACTCAAAAAGTATTGTCCTTACTCTCCTACTCACGGGGAGAAGAGTGCAAAAAATATATATTGTTATTATGGTTCTTTTCTTACCAAAAGATTATTTTAGACTTCAAAAATTGTTGTAATCTTCCATGGAACTGGCTGTCTTAATTAATAATTTATCGCTCCAGAAATAGCACTTAGACATGTTAAGGAACTTGGATTTCTTCGTTAAAGCACTTGAAGACTTTTGACATTTCTTTCTTCTCCCTTTATGCTTTTCCTACTCTTACTGGAAGTACTCAAAGGTTTGTTGTCTCTGGTAATCATTAACTCAATAATTTTTTTCTTATTTCTCAGATTTTTACTTTGTAAACCTTTAATTTCGTGGTTGTATTTTCTAAGTCATCTTTCTTTTTGTATTCTGGGAGAGTTTTCATTCTGATCTTCCAACTATTTAATCCTTTGCTTATCTTTTATCCATTCTAATATTTCATTTATCATGTTTTTATTCGATCTATTATAATTTATACCAAATAATCCTACACAATTTTTATGATTTTTGTTTTAACTTGCATGTTTAATGATCTCTTCACATACCTTTTCATTCTTGTTTTTAATTCCATGAGGACCTAGTAGTGCCTGAAATATAGAAAGTTTTAAATAAATGTTTGTTGAAGAAATTAAGAAAGAGTTTGGAAGGAAAAGAGAGTACAGAACATATTATAGTCATGAAAAAATGCAACTTTATGATATTTTAATAATATCAATTAATCACCCCCTCTAGGCCTCATCCTACCATTTTGTTAAGAATTAATCTCAATCCTTGTAAGCATACTCTCTGTCTGACCCCTATATTTCCTAGGGTGCTAGCACTAGGCATAGCAGAAGGCCTGAGTGTGTATGAGATGGGAGGTGGGGGTGGGGAGAAGCATCTGGCCATGGGAACAGCTCTCTAAGAAAGTTGCTGTTGAAATGTGCCCACATGGTTTCTTCATAGCCCATAGATCTTAGCTTCCTCTATGCTATGCTTCAGGCATGGGAGTATTGTGTGGCTGCTTCTGGTCTCATCACCTTGGAAGCATCCTGCAGCTCTTCCCTCTCTAGGGGTTGATGCCTTACTATGAGTTTGTCAAAGAAGCAGGGTGCAAGTACTGTCTCTAGAATCCCATAGATGCCTCCTCTCTTCTCCAACCCCCAACTTCAAAGAGAGTCTCTTTCTAGAAGGCAGAAAATCTTTCTTTCTTCATGGTTCTGGTGCAAATTCCTTTCTTCATTCTACCTTTCTCCTCACTCTGGGACTAGCATTTATGAACAAAATTCAAGAAGACTCAAGACATCTCTTTCGCTTTGCCACATTCCTCCCCATGAGGACAAGGTTTTATATTTGGAATTGGAGTGGAATAAGAAGGAAAATCCAGAAGGAAAAAAATAACATTAAAAATATGAAAATAGCATGCTACAGAAAGAAGGGAAGAAGCACAGAAAGAATTGATCTATCCTCTTCTATCTTCTCTGAAGCAACTTAGTTCTCTAGAGTAACCTAGTGAAAGCACTAGGTTTTTTAACAACCTACAGTTCTTTTGATCTTGCTCTTAAGGTGCTCCCTTCCCCAAGGTGCCAAGACAGAGAATCTAGAAAAGGAGAGGGCTTTTTCTTATATACACAAAAGACAGAGCCATGTTTGTGATCTGAAATGCGTTTTTATAGGAAATCATTGCGTAGAAGCCATGGCAATAATGTCACCTAGAGATTGGAACCACAGAAGGACCAGCAATTTCTAGAAGTTTTCATTACATAAGTTATAGCCCCTGCAACACCTCAAATTCACTGAGTGGTTATTCCATTTCATGTCGTTCACATTAGCACACTTCTTTAGGCAGCCCTTAAAGGATAAAAAGGGAGAACCATCACCTGCAGAAGGGAGGAGAAACAGATCAGCAAAGAGCCTTCTGCAAAGAAATTTCTTTCCAGCCTACACCAGCATATAAAAACAACCTTGTGTAGTTAAAGGCTCTGTTATTTAAAAGTCTTGAATTGAAATATGTTGCAAGTTGAGAGTTTCCCAAATAAAAGGCAATGGTACAGTAGTTTCAAAAAGGTTATTGGGGGTGGGGAGATGATGACAGATGCAATTCTGGGGTTGCCAAAACTGGATGTTTCAACCGAGAATCAACATTGATTTAAGTAAGGGTTACAAATGCTAAGGGATTGCGTAGCATAAATGGTAGGAAAATAGAAAAATCATGATGTTTAGTCTTACTCATCAAGGGCCATTTAGCCAGTATCTATTGCTGATCTCAGTCGCTCTAGTTCCACAGTTTAAAATCACCCACCAGGAATTCCAGCCAGGGCCCAAGAGAAGGAACTGCCCTCCCCACGCCAACACGCAGTTGTCCTCCACTGGCCGCAGTGTGCCTCTCCTCTTATCTTCATGGCCTCCTCTGTTTTCTTCATGCTTCTCAGAACACTGGTTCTATAGCTAAAGACCCCCACCCCTAGTGGTCACCCTCATCTATCTTCATTATGACATGTGACAGGGGTAGAGATACTAGCCACCCCAGGGCTGAGGCTGCCTGCGGTAAAGGAAGGCCCCTCCTTGTTACCATGGCTGACATCTCCCTGTCTTCTTCCTTGACCTCTTCTTCCTTTCCCCAACCCACAACTTACTTTTGAAAATTCTCCCAGTTACGCAAGCCTCTTCCAGTGTTGCCACACACACTCCTTTGCCTCTGGAACACTCCTCTTTGGGAAACTGCATGTGGCACATTCTACATTGAACGGTTTCTATAATTTGTCCCGGAGAGTAGGGAAACAGAAGTGAGAGCAGATCTCAACCTGCCATGGAAGAACCCATCTCCCTTTCAGGTTAGAATTCTGCTTGAAGCCTGGAGGGCTGTGCCAGAGACTCATTAAGCGTGGGCACTTCCCTCCATTAGAATAGGCTAAGCCAAGAGAGGGACTGGTTCTCAAGAGTTGTGTCCTGGAAAAAAACAACAACAACAACAAAAAAAAAACAGGACAAGAAAGAAAGGTGGAGGGATAAGGAGAAGAATAACAAAATCCAGACCGAGATAATCAAAACAACTCCTCTTCATACTCACTAGGAAAAGAATTTTCATCAACAAACAGTATGTAGTCTATGCTGACAAAGAGAAATAACATATAAAACAAATCTGCAATTTTGCCTGAGATTTACCCTGGCATAAGGTCCTTGTAATTCATTGGGTTCATCTTAACCTGGAGCCACTGCAGGCCCTTTCTGTCCTTTCAAAGCCCGGTCACCTGTCTGATAGCACCTCTGCACCTCTTCCCTCCTTTTAATTCTCTTCACCTCTACAGAGCCTCTCAGATTCCCCTACCCATCCCTATAGGATGCAGTATAGACCAGAAGGAGAAAGATAAATATACTTTTTTCCCCCTCATTCCCTTCTTTTAAATCGACCCTGCACGGCTTTCTTACCTACATGTTTCTGGAAGCTGACAATGAGGAAAATTATCTGAAATTCATTGCTACACTTTAAATTTGGCCAGTTAGTGCCTGTAAAGTCAATATTTCACTTTCTCTTTTCCCTTTTTCTCTTTTCCCTTGTCCATTAATAACTCACCCTAAGCCTTGTCAACTGTTGTGATGATATTTGGTCAAAATTAAAATCAGCCCCCATCCCAGCCCCATCCTGATGGAAGAGATTGCTGAGTGTTGGAATTCAAGGTCTATCTCTGGGTTCTTTTTGATCCCTAATACATACCCTGTCCCATTCATCTCCCCCCTCCTCCAAATTTCCCCCTCCCACATCAATGATCCATTTCTACTCACTTGCAGGTTCACTGTTTAAAAATGACCCAGATAGTACTGTTGAGGGAAAAAAAAAAAAGATATACTTTCTGCAGATCTTATTTTAACAAGCCCCACCTCAAAGCTTCTGTGAACATCCTCTTCATTTCTTTATAATCCACCAATTTCCTCCTACAAGGGAAAGACTAAGGCTTTGGTGAAGGTCCCAGGGATATGATGCATTTTTTGTGGAAGGCATGGCATGAGAATGACAGCTTCTGTTACCACAGGGCTCCTATAAGAGGACTTCCTCATGGAACCCTGGCCCATTGCAGGATCCTTGATACATCTTTTCAACTGTCAATCCTAGGGACTCACCTTTGAAGCAGCAGAGCAGGATGAGGAGCCCTAGCAGGAGAGACTTGTTCATTTCAGAGGGAGGAAGGAGCAGGTTAGGGCAGAAAGCTGCAAGCTACCAGTTTATACATCTGCCAGATTGGGCTTCTGTGTGAAAAGCTAGGGGCGGGGACACTGTGGAAATCCTTCAAAGGCTATCCTGCTTCTATGGAAACCAGTGACTGTCATTTTTCTTGTTGGCAAACTGGGGGGAGAGGGACTGGCTTGGTAAGTCCCGGACCTGATTTATTCCAGTCCTATCGCTCAGCGTTTTTAATGCCATGTTCTGTGGTCTTTCCATTATGCCACACTGTGGGAGAATACAAGGGTAAATCAGGGCTGGGTGGGTAGGATTCAGAGTCATCTTCGTGGAAGTGCTCATTGAAGCTGAGAGACTGTGACTATATGAGTGCAAGTAATCAGAATGCAGAAAGGCCAAAAAAGGCTGAGCACAGAACCTTAGGAAGGTATACCTATAGAGAATGGAGAAGAGATGGGGGAAAGTTAATCTCAAAGGCAATGAAAGAAGATTTTCATGAGGAGAGTATTTTCCCAGTGTCAATCATCCTGGAAGGAAGCAAACTCTGGGCTAGAAGATGAGAGTTGAAGAGAGAACTGCTCTGTGTTCTTGGAGTTCTCAATAGTTGAGACTTAGACTTCTGTTAGGAGATAGAAGTTTAAGATTACTTCTGGAGGGAGGTAAGCTGGTCCTTCCCATTTGATGTCAGGCCAGGTATTAGGGGGTTTTACCTCAATTCTGAGAGTAACAAGGGATTCAATAAGGGAGGTGGCTGAATATAAAAGTCCTGTGGAAGGGACTGAGCCTGTGGATTCTCAAAACAGCCAAATCCAGTATCTTATTCTGTTTTCTGTTAGTTTCTTTTGGTTATTCCTACATTTTCAACAAAGGGTAACAGAAGTTGCAGCTTAATCTCTGCTGTCATTGCAAAGAATTGAGGGTAGAGTCTATGCTCATGCTTAGGGCAAAGCAACATAGAGGGGAGAAATAGCCATAGGAAGGATGTAGATTGTAATAGGACACAATGAAAGTCTATGGCAAAGTGGGTAGTGGTCTCGGTCAGATGTTGACTCAAGAGGTAAGGGAAAAGAGTGATGTATGAAAGAGATTTTCTCCATGACATTTTAGAAGTTATTACTACATATTAAAAGAGCAAACTAGCTTTTCCATACATAGAGGAAAGAGAAAGAGACGTATAACTAGTTAACTGCTTACCTGGGACACCTACAATCCTGGTGAAGCTGTGAAATGACACTGTTAAGGATTCATACATTACTTAACCTCCACACACACATCACTGATTTTTATATTATGCATATTCACTCGCAGATCTCTCCCTTTCCTTCCTCTCATTGCCCTGAAATTTAGCATTTCTTCTTTCATGTTTACATTCCTTTTTCTGACATGCTGAAATCTCCCCTTCTTCCTCCTAGGAATTTCATATTTAATTTTTTGGCTGATGGCAGCCATAAGAAAGGAGGAAAGGTTCTTTACCTCTGTCCCGCTGAAACCATCTCCTCGCCTAATTATACTTCTACGATATTATTATACCACTTCTCCTAAAGTAAAAATTTCCCCCTTCTAGCCTTTCTGATTTACCTGGATTCTTTGCTTATTTTTGAACTATATTTTATTGATTTACTTTTCTCCTGAAATCTCCTCACATTCATACTCTCAGCCTTAGTATCTCATAATTCCTGATTTTCTTACTGAGCCTCACACTGTTCCTTTTTTCAGTGCCCTAATCCTTTTTCTTATTCTCTTAGGGCACTCCCAAATAATACTTCTTATGGCATAAATTTCAATCCCATGACTTTAAAATGTTTAGGAATTAATCCTGTTTGCCTATTGCTCTAAACCTTATTTAGGTCTGCATGGAACATTTATTCATGATGCCCTTCTCCCCATCAGAGACTTCTGGAGGTAGAAAGAGACCAGAAATGTAACCCAGAATTTATCTTAACTGAAAGTGACAAGATAGGTCTACAGTTATGTCTGTTTCTGTGTGATTAGAAGATGATTAGATTGGGATTTTTGCTTTGCATCTATAGTGTTATGTAAAATTATAAAAAATGATGTTTCTTGAATGGAGATTCACTTTCCAATCAGTTACAATTATTTTAAAAAGAAACAGATCTACTCTCCACAGGTAATATAGGAAAATATCCTGAAATTTTTTGGCAATCGAGATATTTTCACATAATGGCCTTTTGAATAAATTAATGGGGCTGGTGGTATATACCAGGATTTGAGGAAAGAGATCTGAGCTTAGTCACATATGATAAGGAGAGTCGACAAGATGAAGAACCACAGTCACTTTTCCTGCATGGTGCCAATGGCCTTAGGCTCCAGGGTTCTCCCAAGACTCATAGTACTTATGCCAGTGAGCTGGGAGGGAAAGAACAGTTTCTTCTGAAAGAATAGTCCAATCATAACAGCCTGTCTCTTTTCCCTCAGGCAAGTAAATAGCACAGCTCTGAGTGACAGACCCACGGAAAGCAGAAAAGTTCTACCCTCTTGAGGGATACGAAAACAAAAAATTTTCAGACAATATGTGCAGATCCAAAAGAGAACATGAAAGAATGATCTCTGAGGTACTTGTGTGTGTGTGTTCGTTTCTACTGTGAGATTCACCATTCCTGAATTTTTCTGGGAATCTCAGAATTGTTCAAAATGCCCACAATCCCCTAGATAGTTCCTTCCTGTGACAGTAAGGGCTGGAGACAATAACATGGACATTGAAGTGACTAAGGAGCTAGGTTTAGGATTCAAGGGAGAAGAAGTAGCCAATAGTCTATCCCTTGCTCCTATTATAGTTTACAGCTATAACAATAAGCTATATCAACAAACCTAGCTATCACCAGGAGAACTCTTTCTAAGGGTGACCTCAACTGAGGAGAAATTAGGAACTCTTCTACTCTCTAAGGTGAATTGACCAGTACATGAAGGCCATACTCAGAGACCTCTTTGCAAACTACCAGCACCCTCAAGGTGTCACATAGTCCTTCATATTGCCCAGGTTGTGAATGTTTTTACATGAATTACTCCAGATTATAAAAACAATGTCTCTGTGTTCAAAGAGACTATCCCTGACCAGTTTACTGAAGCAGATCTCCACTAGTTTTTCGTGTGTGTGTGTGTGTGTGTGTATGTGCGCGCGCGCGCGTGTGTGTGTGTGTGTGTGTGTCGATTTTGGGTTTTTACATTGGTGAAAAATATTACACATACCAAAAAGGGTATAAAACTTAACTGCATATCTTAAATTATTTTGAAGTATATTCTGTACCTATGAACCCGATCAGGAAATTGGATATTGCCCAGTCACAGAAAACTCTTACACTGAATGCTCCTACCCAATTATGTTTTCCTTTTTCTTCATCTAGTGGGAAATGTTATCCTTTCTCTTATGCAATTTAACCATCATTTATTTTATAGTTTTACTGCGCTACATTTTTGCTTGTTTTCAAATATCAATATTAATGGAATCAAATGGTATGCGTTCTAGAAATTATTCATGTTTTTGTATGAAACTGCTTTTATTTCTATGTGGTATTCCATTATATGAATATTAGGGCTGAGAACTTTCCAGTATCAATGAAAAACATCCTCTCAGAGATTCAAGAAAAACAAAATACACTAAGCAAGAGAAATTTAAAAATCTGGCATTATAGTGAAATTTCACACAGTGAAAGAAAACAGTAAAATGTTAAAGGGAACTAGAAAATAAAAAAAAAAACATAATTCAAAAGAACATTAGACTGGCAGCTGAATTCTCAATAAGAACAATGGTAGCTAGAAATTATTGGGGTGATATCTCCAATATGCTGAAAGGCAATAACTACCAAGAATTTTACATCCAGAGAAAAAGTTCTTCAGGAATAAAGTGAAATAAAGACATTATTAGACAATAGTAATGCCATCAACAAACCTACACTTATAGAAACTATATGCAATCAATAAATAATTGTTAAATTGAATTGATATGTTTGAACTAGTCAAGGCTAGAGGGCAAATGTATACATTTCTAGATTCTTGTAGAAAGTAAAAAGGAGCTTTTTGATGCTGCCATCAATTTTTGCAGGCCCACAGAGTCCTCACACTTCTGACTTTCTTAGTGCTCAGCCCACACTCCAGAAATTCCCAACCCCATTATCCCCCATGGTCGATTTTCTTGAATGATCAGGGATGGGTCCAGTTGTCCTTTTTTAACCCAGAGAGACACAGACATGTCATCTTTCAGTCAGCAGTACCCATGTTGCTCAAGACAGTCATGAAGAAAGCATCCTCTATCTCAAGATGATGTACAAGTTCAGTGTCAAATTCTTTTAAGAGATCAATTAAAAATGAAGCCTAGACCTACATCTGGTCAGGACGGCAGAGCAGGTAAACGCTATGCTCACCTCCTCTCACGATCAAATCAAAATTACCACTAACCTACAGAAACAGCCATCATCAGGAGTTGTCTGAAGTCTAGCTAAACAGGAGTCCTACTAGTGGGGGCACACAGAAAAGGCCACCTCAAGATGGGTAGGAAGGGTGAAGATACAAAATGGGCTAGTCCCACACCCAGGCCCATTAAAAATCAGGAGGGATCTCTCCACTGCTGAGGTCTTCCTGGGGGAGCAAGAGGTCTTGGCCCCACACTGGGCTCCCCAGCCCAGGGTTCCAGTGCCAGGAAGAGCAGTCCCCACAATGTTTGACTGTGAAAGGTAAATACCATATGATTTCACTTATATGTGGAATCTAAAGAATAAAAGAAAATAATAAACAAAACAGAAACAGACTCATAGTCACAGAGAACATACTGGTGATTGCCAGTTGGGGGCTGAGTGAAAAAGTGAAGGGATTAAGAAGTACAAATTAGTAGATACAAAATAGTCATGGGAATGTGAAATACAGCACGGAGACTCTAGTCAATAATATTGTAATTCTACATATAGTTTCAGGTGGGTAGTAGACTAATCAGGGAGATCAATTCATAAATTATATAAATATTTAACTACTATGCTGTATAC